TTTTTATTCTTTTTAATTTTTTTCCATTCTTTCCTGTCTCTAAAGGGAGTTGATACAGTTGTGAGATCCTGTTTTTAAGGTTTGAGGCTTTTGGTACTGTGGTACACTGAATAACGGTCCCCCCTAAGGATGTCCATGTCCTTATCTGCAGAACTTGTGTTACTATATATAGCAAAAGGGGCTTTGCGGATGGGATCGGTTTCAGGATCTCGAGTTTGGAAAGATTACTCTAAATGATCCAGATTATCCATGATGGCCTAATGTGATCGCATGGGCCTGAGCGAGCCACGGAAGGAGTCACAGTTACGAGGCCATGTGATGATGGAAGCAGAGAGCAGCCGAGTTGGAGGGAGACGACGCTGCACTGCTGGCTGTGAAGATGGAAGAAGGGATGGCAGGCCAGACAACATAGGCTTTTCTAGAAATTAGAAAAGGTACAGGAGTAGATTCTCCCTCGGAGTCTCCAGAAAGAACCAGCCCTGCTGACATCTTGATTTTAGCCCCATAAGACTCATTTCAGATTTCTGACCTCCAGAGCTGTTAAGAGAATAAATATGTTTTATTTATTCTCTATTTGTTTTATTTATCCACAAGCTACTGAGTTTGTGGTAATTTGTTAAAGCAACAAGAGATAACAAATACAGGCACCTTAAAAAACATTATGAATTAAAATGAGACAAAAAAAAAAAGCAGGCTATTAAATGTAAATGAAATGCACCATTATAAATTTCAAGAAGTCAAAGAAAATGGTGAGTTCAAATGCTTTGGGGGAAGTATCCTAATTCTAGAAACCAGCTTGCTTTACCTCGCCTGCACTACATCTAGGAAAAACATGACGAACCCTGAGAGCTGGTAGGATTGTTTGCTTTGGAAAAACGGCTGGAGAAGACAACACTTTCTCACAAACACTCAATACAGAATTGTTTTTTAAAAAGCAAGAGTACTGGCTCTCCTGCAAGGGCAATGGGGGAAGCATGCCTCAAGGCTGCAAAGCAGGGTGGAGAAAGGAAGACTTAGTAAGGGGAAGGGGTGACAAAGAGGTGCCAGGTAGCCGGCAAGGTTGTGAAATTAGTTATACAGAGCCAATAAGTTAATTGAGGAAATAGGGTAAATATATTTAGAATCATGGAAGCCAAGTTTCTTTCTGTCTGAAAGAATTTTACTTACATAGAAAGGAGGGAAGGCTGGAAAGAACTAGGTGTTGGATTAGAATTATTAACAGAAACACTGGGCTAAAAACATATATATGCAAACACACAAGGACATCTATAGAGATTTATGTGCCTATATATCTATAAAGTGTATGTGTATATATGCATATGTATGATGTTTGTGTATATATTAATATGCACGTGTGTGTCTTTTTCTAACTCTGCTCTCTGAGAGGGCCTAGGGGCCCTAGCATCCCAGTAACAATGAACACACTATGCAGCATTCTCCACTAAGTAACATTTTCCACGCAAGGAATCACTCCTTGGAGGAATGGATGATTCCAGGCCTGGGGTAGGCAAAGATAAAATAAGGCCGGTATGTGTCAAAAGGACACAGGAACCAGCTTTAAGAGCTGTCATTGGTCAAATCTAAAGTAATTTGAACATCAAAATAAATAAGGAGGATATAGGATTATAACCCATTTAATAAAATAGGAATCCCATAAGTATTCTGATATAAATGCATAAAAATAAATATTATAAATGAGAAATGAAGAGAAAGCTTTTTTTCTCCTTTTTAAATTTTTTTTTTTTTTTTATCTTAGTGGGAGCACTGAGGCCAGAGCCCATCCCTGGCCCCAGCCCAGGTCCCCGAGAAAGCTCTTTATGATGGAATGATAACTAATGTACAAGGAATGGCGGAAACAGATGACACTAACAATTCCCATGGAGGTAGCTGAAACAGGCCAGAGTTGTCAATGGATGCTGAAGGCTGCCTAGTGAATGTAAGCTGATAAGAAACAGGATTTGCTTTAATATCAGAATGTCTCTTCCCAAAACACTAATCAAATGCAAAGGGAAAACAGGTGACTTCATGGAGAACCCTGGCAGACACCAGACTGCACCGGGATCAAGGTTCATGTCACCAGTGGTGGGACAGGTGGACCTCATGTGTGTCCATGGGCACGGAGGTCACAGCATCATTTTTGTGATCTTCCCACCAGGAGCACAGCCAGAGTCTGGGCAAAAGAAAACATTAGCTGGATCCAAAATTCAGGGTTTTCCTACAGAATGAAAGGCCTGAACTGTTTAACACACTCTTTGACACAAAGTTAACAGAATGTTAGTTAAACGTACAGAAAAGCTCTTTCCAAGGCTTATAAATATGGTATTACATAGGTAAGATGATCAACATCTTAGGGCTTTTGAAAACACGATTTCAAACATTTTATCTATTTTTAAGATTATGTATCCCAATTTTTTTGCTTCAGAAATTCGGTGACTCTAAATATTGACAAAGAGAAGTTAAATATTAACACTGCTTAAGAAGAGAGGTAGTATGCTATGGGAAAAAAATGGGCAATGAGGCAAGATATGACTTATCTATCCAGCTCTGCCAATACAACTAGCTGTTTGGTCTCAATTGACTAAGGTTAAGAAATTAGCTGATTTCTCAATGACTTCTGAGGTCCAGTCCAGCACTAAAATCCATAAGCAAAATCTAACCTATATACGAGAGAAATTTCTAGCTTTATTTAATAGCATGAAAATGTGCCATGTTCAAAATTTGGACAGTTACAGACTAGCTATATAGGTTTTGGTAATTTAACAATTTTATATTTATTTTTGACAAAATGTCTGAATTCATTACCAGATGGACACCCCAGTTGTCTTCAGAGCAAGAACCTGTGCCTCTCTACTTCCACCAAGCGTTGACAAATGTGATGTACTGTATTGCATAAACGAAAATTTAATATGGGTTCTAGGAAGGGCTACAAATCTTTATACAAGTGCCAATTTTTAGCTCTCCGTCGTCACATTTCCTTTAAATTTTCAGTGTTTATTATTTTTTACCATATTTTCATTCTATTTTAGTAGTATTATACTAAAACACCTGACTTTTAATATCTCTTACACATTAGAATGTTCCTTCCATTCATTCAGCCAACACATATTTGAGCGCCTACTATGTGCCAGAAACTGTAACCGTGTGAGGTGTGGGGATATAACGAGGTTCAGCTAAAGAGATATAAAGTTGGGCATTAAGGGGAGATAGCTGGCACTTGAAGCTGTGGGCCTGGATCTGTGCCTAGTATTAGTTCCTGGGGAGACTGGGGAGAACAGAACTGAGCTTTGAGGATCTCCGATATTGAGGCACCTGAGAGGAGGGTAAGCAAGAATGGCAGCAGGAAAAGCAGAAGAGTGTGAGGGGTGAGGAGTGTGATCCCAGAAGCCCAGAAGACAGTGTTTTAAGAGAGATGGGGGCAGTAGTGTCAAATGTTGCTGGGACTGAGCAAGATGAGGCCTGGAAATGTCTGATTAGTGGGTTTTTGGTTTTAACAGAGAGGAGGAGGGAAGCCAGACTGGTTGAGGATGAGAGACAAGGAACAGTTGCACTGAATAGGGCAATTCTTCAAAGTTTGCCTGTCAAAAGGGGTAAGGGATTGGACAATAACTGAAGGGAAATGTGGGGTCAAGGGAGACTTTTTTCTTTTGTTTCTTTTGTGACGGTAGACTCGAACATGTTTAAAAGCCATGGCAACGTGCTGAGATGGAATAGGTGATTACATGAGAGCATGGAGGACTGCTAGTGTGGGGTTTTTGATGAGTGGAAAGGGATGGGATCCAAAGCACGGGGAGGGAGGAGCCTTGGAGAGGAGGAAGGAAGCTAAGATGGGTACAGGCGTAGGAAGGCTTGCAGCCTTTGTAGCTGGAGATTGAGGGACTACCATGCAATACCTCTAAGTTTCTCTATGAAGTGACGGCACAAGGTGGGGAGGACTGGAGATCAAATCTGAGCAAAGTGGAGGCTTATGATCTGCAGTCTCCTATAGACCCTCAGCCAACTGCAGCAATCCTACTGTGCTACTTTGGTCAACTGGGGTTTTACCTGATGAAAAAAGAGAAAAAATAAGGTCTGGGGGTTTAAGAGATTGCTCACAGTACAGATGTGTAGGGGCCAGTGCACACTGACTCCTGCACTGCTTGGTGACTGACTGGGGTGTCAGCACCCAGGCACTTACTATCAAAATGATCAGCACAGGGATGATCATTTGTCTCCATCTCAATTTGCCTCTTTTGGTGCTTCATTCAAAAATAAAAAGAGAAAGAGTAGGGAACAGAGCTTCAATTCCTACATGATTCCTTTTTCTTCACTGGGAAGAAGGTTCTGGATTCCTTTGTTCTCCAGTACAGCCAATTTTAAAGTTCTTGCTATAGTTCTATGTTAGGGGTACTGTCATATTTATACCTAAGAAAGCTAAGGGGCATCCTTCAATTTTTAGCTTGTTAACAGCATGGTGCTTATGTAACCTGTTTACCTGTTTTAAAAGTTATAATCTTCAATACTAAAAATATTGTATTTTTATCTATGGAGATCATAAAATTCATATAATCCCTTTTTAGTTTTTATTCTTTTAAAAAAATATGAAATATTTTATAAATTTGCACGTCATCCTTGCACAGGGGCCATGCTAGACTGTCTATGCTCGAGTGGGCGAAGGACATAAGCAAGAAAACCAGTTAGGAGGCAACTGAAATAATCCAGGCACCAGATGATGGTGGCCTGGATCAGGGTGGTGACAGTGGGGGCTGAGAGAAATGGCAGAATTGTAAATCTATTCTAGGTACATTTTGAAGGAAGTGCTGACAGACTGAATGCGAGGAATGAGAAAAACAGGAGTCAAGTAGCATCAAGGATTGGGCAACTGAAAGAATGGAGTTTCCAGTGGGGTTAGGAGTGTGGAAGGTGCAGGGTTGGGGGATTATCACGAGCTCAGTCTAGGCCACGCTGCATCTGAGATGCCTTAGACTTCTAAGCAGAGACGCAGTAAGCAGTCGAGTACATACACAGGTCTGGCGTCCGAAGAAGGGGCCAGGGCTGGACATACACATTTGGGGCTCACTGGCATTCAGACAGGCTTTGAGTCCACGAGACTGGATGAATACATCTGAGTGTAGACAGAAAAAAGACTCAAGGTCATGTTCAACCGTGAAAAACTGGTCTGAGAAACATGTTAACTGTTGGCATTAAAGTTTGGCAACGAAATGTTACAGCACTAAGGGGGAACTGTGGACAAAGAGCCCCAAGTTTGGGCGAGGTACCTGCGGGTGGGAGACGAAGACCTTTCGAAGGACTTGAGATTCCCGCGGGCTGGGGATAGGGAAGCGGCCAGCGCGAAGGTTAAAAGGAAACGCCAAGCCAAAGCACAACAGCAAATAGGCAGATCCAAATGCGAAGGTATGCGGTTCAGATATAAAAGAAAAATATCAGCAGCAGCCTCCGGGCAGAGGTGAGAGCGGCGGCCGTCGGACCGTGGGCTCCCCGCGGGCCTGCGCTGCCCTCGCCGTACCCGGCACGCACGGCGGGACGCACTCGGTCACCCCGGGGCCGCCCCCAAGCCGCCCGGCCGCCGGGCTCCCGGGCCCGACTTGCGAACGCGTGGGCCGCCGGGGCGCAGGGCCACACTCCCCGAGCGGGGGAGACCGCTCCGCCCGGGCCGCGCTGTGCAGGGCAAACGCCGGAGGACCCGGCTACGTTACCCGCCGGGGGAGCAGCGCGGGGGGCAGCGGTGAGGACCGAGCGACCCCGGAAGCCCAGAAAGAGTGTACCAGGCGCCTCTGGCCCGGCTGGACGGGGTAACAGGCTGCGGGGCTCGACTGACGACGCGGCCGGGCTGTTACCTGCTCCGCGCGGCTCCCGCGGCTGCGCCAACCCAGCGGGCTCGCGGCGCGGGCGCGTCGCCAAGGAAACGCAGACGCAGGGCCCTCTGGGACCGAGCGGCTGGCGGGGCAGGGTGCGCGCATGCGCACTCGGGGCCGCGCGCCGGGCGTCTCCCGCGGGGAGGTCAGTCTGGCCTCGCGTCTCCTCTGGATCTGGGGAAAATGAGTTCCTGCCCTAGACCGTCTGCAGCCGAGCCTCCCGCCGCCCTCCTTGGCACCCAGGACCCTGCCTTCGCCCCTGGCCGTACCGGGAGCGCGCCGGTGTCCCGAGCCTGGGCCGGGCCCTGTGCCGGGACTCCGCAGACCTCGGGTGGCTTCGGTTGTGCCCGCCCCTAGGCTGCGGGCGGGTGTAGACCCCCGGGACGTGGGTGGGCTGAGAGCACAGTGTCCCTGTTAACCTCTTTTTCACAAAGACGGTTTTTGTCGAAACAGTGTGATCACAAAACAATGCATGTTTGGTGTAGAGAACTGAGAAATAATGTACAGGCAAGTACAAAGGAAAAAAGTAAAAATCGCCTAGGATGATGGAATTGTCGGTGCTTTTTAACGGCTGCATAGGAATGTGGCATAATTGACGGACATTTTAATTGTTTCATTTCTTTCTTTTTTCTTTTTTGGTGGCGTTGTACCAATGCCATGATGAATATCCTTGTGGGTGGATCTTTGAGGACATCCCTGACCCTCTTTCCTTAGGATGATTTCCTGCAGATGAAGTTGCAGGGTCAAAGCAGACGCCCACTTTGAGGGTTTCTGAAGGTAGATGGAAATTGCCTTCCAGGCAAATGTTTGCAGTTTTTGACCCGAATTGGAAATTCTCTTTTTCTTTAAATTTTTTTTGGCCTATTTTATTGTCAAAAAATTGACATCTTTAATTGTATTCACTTCTTTGTAAGAGGGAGAGACATATTTTCTTCTCGTTAATGGCATTTGTCCTTGTTTTGTGGTTTGCCTTTTCTCACCAGTTGTCCATTTTTAAACTTGGTGTTCATCTTTGTATTAATAAAAACTGATTTGTGAGAACTTATGATGTATGAAAATCTGGTTTGTGAGATATTTTGCCAATAGTTCCTCTGTTTGTCAATTACCTTTGGATTTGTTTACAGTGTATTTTGGTATTTATGTATAGTAAGATTTATCACATTTTCCGTTTACAGGTTCTACATTTAGTTTTTATGTAAAAGGAACAGTGTACATTCTTCAAACAGATTCTGTTTAATTCTCCTGTTCATAGGACTGGGTGGGACCAAGCTTTCTGTCCACCATCTTTTCCTGTTTTGCTGTTAGAGTGCCACTCTCGATTTTGGTGGCCATGCATTTCTAGAACCTTAGTGAGGTGTTATTCATATAAGATGGGTGCTGGTGTTTTTGGTGGTGATGGTGGGCTGGGCAGCATCTCCAGTGGGGCAGACATTACCGCTGAACATTCCTGGCAAGATGAGCTGATTCTTGCCTGGCTCGGGCCTTCCGGACAATCACAGTGAGGAGCAGGGTTGGTGATGTTGACAGAGTGAAATTTTCCAGCCTGGGTGTTTAGGGACGGAGGAGGAGACTGGGAGAAGGGCATGCAGGTCTGCAGCTACTTTTTTTTGCATCTTTTTTTTTGTTTTTTTGTTTTTTATTTTTGAGACAGCAGTCTCACTTTGGTTGCCCAGGCTGAGTGAGTGCCGATGGCGCAGCCTAGCCGCACGAGCAACCTCAACTGCGCTGGGCTTGAGTGAACTTGCTGCCTCAGCTCGGGCCGAGTAGGCTGGACTAACAGGCGCATGGGGCCATGTGCCCGGGCAGTAAGTGGTTTTTGGGGGATATTTTTCTGACTCAGTTGGCAATTAATTGTCGTTCTTATGTGAAGGGAGGAGGGACGAGGGGTTGTCCGACCACTCGTCCAGGCCCGCTCAGTCCCAAGCGAGCTAGCGACCACACGCGCCATTTTTCTGCGATCTTAAAATCCTCTCTACTGGGCCATGATAGATAAAGATATCTCTACTTTTGAAAGGGGGTCTTTGTGTTGCTGGGCGTGCATATATTGGAAGACGAGAGGGCTTAGTACAGCCGTCAGTAAGCAAATGGGCCTTTTTATTAGGCTGGTCATCAGGGTCATCCAGCATGCCGTGTAGTAACGGATATACCTTTATTTCTCAGTTTAGTTCCTAGGATGCTTAGCAACAATTACGGAATGGTGGCTGTAGAGCGTGCAACTTTACCTCTCACTTCTGGAGTCAGAGTATGAAATCAGGTGTCTGCAAGTCTGGCTCCTCTGAAAGCCTTCACGGAGACTATCTTATCTTAACCAGGCTTCTGTGAATTATCTTGTGCTTGTGGGGAAGCACACGAACTCCCATCCTCTGCCTCCATAACTACAACACAAATAATACTGTGTCTGCTGTCAGCTGTGGTGTCCTTACAACAATAAACACAGTCATGTTGGATTTAGGGGTCACCAACAGAAAATCCAGGATGATCTTTATCACCGATTGAAACACTAATGACATCTGCCAAAACACTGGTCATCCAAAATACAAAAAAATCACATGCTGAGGTTTAGGAAAGGTTGAATCTTGGGAGAAAACATATTCCAACGCCAGCGTATAGTAAAAATAGTTAAAATGGGTAATCATACTCACATAATTCTGTTGTTAAAATAAACCGCTATGCCTTATTTTGTCATAAAAAATAAAGGGTTTACCTCATTAAAGTAAACGTGAATCAGACACAATAACATCGGTGTAGCATAATTTTAACAAAAAAATCACACGGGGAACTCGGTGTGAATTCGTTTGTAAAGCCAAGTGACAGTGTTGTTTTTTTTTTAAAGGAAAAAATCAATACGTTTTATAATCAAAATTAGCCAAATCAAAAAAGTGTTATTAATTGTGACTCACAATGGAAAGAAAACGCACAGTACTAAGATGTTAAATGAAGTTGGCTGCCTGCAAACCCCTTGTGCTAGATTACACAATGGCAGCTGCTTTCTGAAGTGGGATTTTGGGGTAAGTCAGAGAATTATTGCCAGGCTTTATTTTCAGACTTGTTTGGAATATTTGTTATTTCTCTTAATTCATTCTTGAACGGGCTCATTTGTGTCACTGTAATAAAGTAAAAAGAAAGTCTTTTCAGTGACAGTGTTCAAATTTTCCTAATCCTGTAAACATTTCTATGGTCCATTTTTGTTTTTTTTTGAGACAGAGTCTCGGGCTTATTGACCAAGGGCTGAGGAGTGATGCCCTGGCGTGCCAGCCGTACTGCTCACAGCAACCTCAAACTCCTGGGCTCTCAAGCAATCCTTAAGCTGCCCTCAGCCTCCCAAGGTAGCTGGACACAGGCATGCGCGCCAACCATGCCAGCTATTTTATATATTTACTATTAGTTGGCCAATTAATTGTCTTTCTATTGTTATTATGTAGAGAGCGGGGTCTTGCTCTTGGCTCAGGCTGGTTTTCGAACTCCTGGACCCTCGAGCAACGTCCGCGCCGCCTCGAGCTCCCAGAGTGCTAGGATTACAGGCATGAGCCACTGCGCCCGGCTCTATGGTCATTTTTTAAAAGGATAAACTTGGCCTGGCATGGTGGCTCAGGCCTGTAATCCTAGCACTCTGGGAGGCAGAGGTGGGAGGAGCCCTTGAGCTTGGAAGTTTGAGACCACCCTGAACAAAAGCGAGATCCCATCTCTACAAAATAAAATAAAAGGATAAACTTTAAAAAATCCATTCATAGTGAAAAAAGGGAGCACTAGGAATTTGAGGGTAGCATCTCAGGAGCTTCTTTTATGTAGTGCAGAGGGAAATGGGTCAGGCTCACGTCTTGAATACACCATTTCCTGTTCCCATCATCTCCAGTTCTATGTTCTCATTGTGAGTAGGGATGATATGCAATCCAATTGTAGGGTGCTTGTACAGATCAAGGAAGGGTTTATGCAAATCACCTGGAGCAGATCTGGCACATGGACAACACCCTAAAAATTGTTAGCTGTTATTCAGTAGGAAATCTGTTTCTTCCAGGGTTTGTAGATGGAGGGGATGTCATCACTGAAGAAAGTTTTCAGCCTATCTGATCATGGGATGTATATTCTCTAGCATACAGGAGAATCCGGCTATAGTTTATGTTACCAACTTACAAAGCCATTAGGAAATTTGCCTGGCTTATTACTTTTTCAATAATATTTGGAGAAAAATAGCATGCTTACATGGCAGACTTTAAGGTGTGAAATATATTATTTTTGTATAAAAAATACATGCCTGTAATCCTAGCACTTTGGGAAGTCGAGGCGGGCTGATCGCTCAAGGTAGGAATTCGAAACCAGCATGAGCAAGAGCGAGACCCCGTCTCTCCTGAAAATAGAAAGAAATTAATTGGCCAACTAAAAGTATATAGAAAAAATTAGCCAGGCAGGGTGGCACATGCCTGTAGTCCCAGCTACCTGGGAGGCTGAGGCCGGAGGATCACTTGAGCCCAGGAGTTTGAGGTTGCTGTGAGCTAGGCCGATGTCACGGCACTCTAGCTGGGGCAACAGAGTGACACTCTGTATCAAAAAACAAACAAAAGGGTATAATTACTAATGAGGCCAAGAGTTAAAAACGAATTTTTAAAAATACACATGAAAACTACTCCCAGCCTTTGGTGGGCATGCATTTCTAGAGACTTCAGGTGAGGTGTTATTCATATAAGATGGGTGCTTGGTTGTTTTGGTGGTGAATGGTGGGCTGGGCAGCATCTCCAGTGGGGCAGACATCAGACAAGTGTCACCCTGACCTGACATTCCTGGCAAGATGAGCTTGATCTTGGTGGGGTGGGGTCCCTTCCGTGACAAATAACAACAATGACAGTTTGTTGTTAAGGGAAATCCCCAGCCCTGGTGTTTAGGACTGGAGGAATGAAAGTAGAGGTTCCTCAGATTTTTTTGCATCTTTTTTTTTTTTTTTTTTTTTTTTTTTGAGACAGAGTCTCACTTTGTTGCCCAGGCCTAGAGTGGAGTGCCATGGCGTCAGGCCCTAGCTCACAGCAACCTCAAACTCCTGGGCTTGAGTGATACTTCTGCCTCAGCCTCCCGAGTAGCTGGGACTACAGGCATGCGCACCATGCCCGGCTAATTTTTTATGTATATATCAGTTGGCCAATTAATTTCTTTCTATTTATAGTAGAGACGGGGTCTCGCTCTTGCTCAGGCTGGTTTTGAACTCCTGACCTTGAGCAATCCGCCCGCCTCAGCCTCCCAAGAGCTAGGATTACAGGCGTGAGCCACAGCGCCCGGCCCTTTTTTGCATCTTAATGGTCTCTTCTTCTTAGACCAGCTTTTCCCAGTGTCTGCAGGCATGATAAATATGAATATGTTTCAGAAAGAATGGTCTTTGCTTCTACTTTTGAAGGGGGTGTTCTTTTGTTGCTGTGCATATAGGAAAGAGGAAGAGGCCCTTGAGGTACACAGCTAAAGCAATGGCCTTTTTATTATGGCGGTCATCATCATGCCGTGTAGTAAACATATACCTTTATTTCTCAGTATTAGTTTCCTAGGGATGCTGCAACAAATTACGGCAAACTTGGTGGCTTAGAGCAGTAGAACTTTACACTCTCATACTTCTGGAGGTCAGAAGTATGAAATCAAGGTGTCTGCAAGTCTGTGCTCCCTCTGAAAGCCTTCAGGGAGAATTCTTTGACTCTTCCAGCT